AACCTTTCCTAGGAGTGGAAAGCAAATGCTAGTCAACAATACACTGGAAAGAGAAAAAAGATGAGGCTGCTGCGGCCCTGAGCTTACAACCGAAGTGCCGCTCAGGAGGCCGAGGCGGCAGGGCTGAGGCTGCAAGGCACAGCAGGGAAGCACAGCGGGATGCGACCTCAAAATAAAAATTTCCGAAGAGAGAAGAGTGAGTGATCTAGCTTGCTGGTAGACTAGCCCTGGCTCTGTCTGTGGTACAGCACAATAACTGACTAAATAAATACATAGATGACTAAATAAGAAAGTCCAGAAGGAAGGTGGCAGTAGAACTGTCATTTGATAAAATAAAGTGTCCTATGACAACTTCCGCTTCTCTACAAAATGAGCGCTGAGCTACTGTTCTCCTCCCACGGTGTGTCCTGTGAGGGCTGAGGCGGTCTCTGCACGTGCTGTTACAGCTTTCCTTCCTGGGAGGGTGAGCAGGGCTGACGTCACTGGAGGCCTGCCTCACAGATTTCTTTCTAATATTCTCTCTCTCTCTCTCTCTCTCTCTCTCTCTCTCTCTCTCTCTCTCTGTTTCTGTCTCTGTCCCCCCTCTCTCTGTCTCTTTTCTTCTTCCCTCATGTAGTCAGAATTTTTGCTTTATTCTAGTGATCCAGTTAGTTGTACTGGCCGCTCAGTCCCCTGCCACGGTGGCTGAGGAGACCTCGCTGTCTTGCGGGAGTCTGCGTGAGGCCTGGGATGTCATACTTAAGTTCTCCTTGCAGTGTAGCTGTGCATTCTATCTGTGTAGGACACACTTTCCCACAAGTTCTTATTCTAGCCCCTGCCGTTATTTACACAGACAGTCCCATGCAGGCGGGCCCGAGAGGCGACACTGAGGGACGGCAGGTGCTGGCCTGGGGCCTCCCGTGTCTCCTGGCAAGACATCAGCTTCTCATGGGGCTGGCTGCTGGTATAGCTAGGACTACCTGAGCCTGCAGGGTACGGCTGTTTGTAGATATCGAAGATCAGGTAGTGAACATGAACAATCATGTACAAGTCTCCAAGAAAAAAGTGCAGAGGTACTAAACTCTCTTCACCTCATGGTAAATACTTCTACCATGCGCCGTGGAAGCCGTGGGTGGTTGCCCTCACCACCGTCCCAGCGGGCGGCAGCCTTCCTGCTTACTGTGCCCCCGGGCGCCCTGGGTGCTGTTCACGTACGCTGAGGTGTCATACAAGTGGAAGTGAAGGCAGCCGCAGAAGGGCGCACACGGAAGCAGAGCAGGTGGGTGTCCAGGGTGAGTCCTAGAATCGCATTCTTTTATCTGCATACAGTGGCACTGGCAGAAGAGCCACATTCGGGAAAAGGAGATAAATGTGTAGATTTTAATTTCTTTATTCGATTTATTTTTGCTTTTCAAAGTTCATAAAGCTGTGCTGTTCTCCAGTGTCTAAAGAGAAAATTCTGCCTCCCGTCGCTGAGACGCAGGTCTCCGAGCACACCTCACGCTGAGGATCCCATTCACCACGCTCTCGGGCATCTTGGAGACTGCGCTGGTTTCACGAGCTATTCCCAGTTTAAGTCCATAGCATGTCAGTGCCACAGCTAGGTTTGTCAAGAGCTTCTGTGTCCTGGTCTGTGGATGGAAATGACAGTATTTATAAAGTACAGAGTGGTCTTTGGACAGAACATGACCAAAGGACACAGGGCACACCCCGGGAAGTTTCCCAGGTGACAGCCCCAAGCCACCCCTCATGTCTGTGAGATCTACAAGCACTGCATTGCTGGGTGGTAGGGGGCAAAGCCCCCCTGCTGATCTGCCTACTGTGGGCATATGCTTTGAGAACCAGAGTGCCCCTGGCGCATGGCAGGCCCTTCATCAAGGGCCTCAGCGGCCCTGTGCATTCTCATCTCATTAATCACTTTAAAATGTAGAAATACTGCAAAGGTAAAAAGCTCCAGAGATAAAGGAAACTGACTTCAAGTGCCAGGTCCCCCTGTGTGGCCCCTGAGCAGCACACCCAATGTCTGTGCCACTCCTCGCATCTTTGTGAGAGGGTGTCGGGACTGCTGCTAACCTGGCCACAAAGAGCCCCAGAGGGGTGGAGGCGCAAGAGGTGCCGGTGACTGGGTGCTGCTGATCCTGACATCTCAATAATAAATCTATTGTGTGAGAGAGACTGGTGTGTTCTTTAGGCCTTCACCAAAATAAGCAAGGAGGTGACAGTTTACAGAAGTGCTTATCTTCCTCTCAGCTGCCCTGTACTTAAGCTCTCAGGGCAGATTGAGTGGATTAGCAAACAAATCCAGGGCCTGAAGCCGGTAAACAGAGTCAGCGGCCCCCCACCCTCATTATAGGGGAAAGCAGCTCCTAGTGGATTGAACTTTGGCACCAGGTCATGGCCCTGGTGTGGGCGCCTGTCACCGCCCAGTCACTGCAGCTGAGGCCCCTGCCTGTGAGCTGTCACCCGGCCACCACTGCCCCACCCAAGCCGGGTGGCCTCACCCTCCCTCGGCCTTTCCCTCCCGTCTTTATCTGTGCACTCCGGGAGGGCTGCGAGAGCTGTGGCCTGGGTGGGCGTGAGCGCGTGTGGACTTTCCTTAGGGATTGCAATTTCCATGTGTCGAGTTAGAGTACAGGTGCCGGGCCTTCCTTGGTGGCCGACAGGGCTGGAGCTGGCTGGTGAGAGTGTCCTCATGGTCAGGGCCCTATGGGGGGTGGCAGCAAGCCAAGAGGGAGAAATAGTTGAAAGCAGACATCCACTGTCGCCTTTCTGCATCTGAATATTTAAAAGAATGGACACAGTGTTAGAATGAACTCATGCCAGGCAAAATTGTCACAGGCACTGGAAGCACAGGCTTGTGTACTTAGCCACCACGGCCGCGGCTCCCAAGGTTCAATGGACAGCAACCCAGACAGGTCCTGGCATCGTGCTCCTGAGAACTGAGGGGCTCATGTGTGCGGGGTCAACGCGGATTCTAGTATCAGCGCTGATGTCTCAAAATGTAGAATATAAGGAAGATTTAATAAATATAATTAATGAAGATGTAATAAATACTGTACGTTTAGAATTCCTGTACAAGGAATGCCAGCACTCACGGGGCTGAGAAAGGAGGATTGCTGTGGGCTCAAAGCCAGGCTGGACTGCATGGGGAGAAGTCACACACAAAATTAAATTTTTAACAAGGGCTCTGCTTAATACTAAAGATCTGCTTAAAACTAAAGAGGCTAAAAACGATATCATTTTAAAAGATGTAAATTAAGGTTCTTGAGAGAGATGAAGAAAGAACTTGCATTTTAAAATTCACTTAAAAATATGTCAGTCTAATAATTCCTTTTTAAAAAAAAAATTATTTGATACAGGGTCTTGCTGTGCAGTTCAGACTCATAGTGATCATGCTCTCTCAGCCTCCCCATCACTGGGATTATAGGCATGTGCCACCATGCCCAGTTTTTGGCGCCAGCACAGCATGCAGTGCCAAAGATCAAACTCAGGACCTTGCACTTGCCAGGCAGGTGCTTATGCCCCGGAGCTGTCTCCCCGGCCACATAATGTCATTTTTTTCTCACTGGAATACTGTGGTACTCAAAGACTGAATTCACTGTAACTTTAGAAGAAGTATCAATATTTGGCCGCTTCAACATCTAGACTCACGTTTATAAAATAATCTGAAGATATGAGCGCTAGCAATGATCTGTATCATGATAAGCCTGCTTCACATCCATGGATGTTTGAGATCATTCAGCAGCTAACTGGAATGTGATTTGAGCGGTGGTGGTCGTGGACGGGCAGGATGCGAACCCTGAACACCTGCACAGTCCCAGGCACGCTTGTTCCTGCAGGGCCACAGCACAGAGTGGACTGTGCGGTTTTCTAAAAGAAAACGCAGCCTCACTTTTGGCCACTTAGTAAGCCTTTTAGTTCTCCACCAGATATTTAACACCGTATAGCCCGGCGAGCGTGGGCTAAGGCCGTCTTCCTTGAGCCTGCCTGGTAGCTTTGGTAACCCTCCCGTCCACGTTCTAGCTGACCCAGTCCTCTGGCACACGGGATCCGTGCTGGTTCTCCGGTGTCCCGATTCCCTCCCCCGCTGCCTGTCCTTTTCTTTTGCCGTCCAGCACCTGGCATTTTGCTGCACAATGCCTCCTTATGTGCTGTGAGTCCATCAAGCCAGCCTGGACCCAGTGGTGACCCAGCCGCCTGTCCTAGCTGTCCCCTCTGCGAAGTTCCTGCAGCGATTCACTCCTCCGGCTCTCTGCAGCGGCTTCTACAGACTTCTGCCAATTTTCCCTTTTAACGGAGGTTGTGTGATAGGCGTGCGGCTGGGTGCCTGGGCCCGTAGGCAGCGTGTTTGTGAGCTATCCGCGGGGCTGCGGGTGAAGGCCACAGGAAATCTAGGCAGAGATCAAACCTAAGAAAGGGCGTGAGGGGGTACCGAGCACACAAGAGCCTGTCTGGACAGTCCTAGGCCCTGAGTTTGATTCCTGACACCAAAAAAGTCAGATAAACTTAAGAAAACCAGCCACGAGCTACTGTTCCGTCTGTTATCAACACAACCAGCATCCCTACCTGTACCGGACAAAATCCGACTGCGGAAAAAGCTTTCTGTTGATTGAGTGTGAGTGTGAGTGTGTGTGTGTGTGTGAGCCCTCAGTACTGAGGAGCTCGAGGTGATCTGGAGTCGCCTGGCGCGGTGACACCGTGCCGTTGATAAGGGCTGGCATTTGGTGTGCTAAGTGCACACTTGTAGTCCTCATAGGAAACAGTGTACTAAATACTGATGCTTTCAGTCCAACGTTTACCATTCCTCCGCGTCCTTGGTGTAAGAAGCGCGCGTCCACGTCGCGAATTCCCCGCGAGGCCCTCCCGGGCTCCCTCTTGGTTGGAGGCGGCGGGCCACCGCGGCCTGGCCAGCTCCGGGTCCCCAGCTCTGCGCCTCCGCGGACGGAGCACTGCCGGCCCTGCGGCGCTGCCTGCGCTCTCATCAGCCCCGTTCTCACCTTCGGGACTCTTCTCCCTTTCAGAACGACGGCGGCGGGCAGCGCAGCCTCATCAACAAGTGGACCACCTTCCTGAAGGCCAGGCTGACCTGCTCGATTCCCGGCAGCGAGGGCGCCGACACGCACTTCGACGAGCTGCGTAAGTCGCCGCCCCTGCTCCGCTGAGGCCTTCCTTGGGCTCCCCGCGTGCTTCCCCGGCCCCACCCCGGCTCCGGTGCAGGGCCTCCCACCGGATCTGCACACAGGACGCACCCGGGTGCTGCTGGGGGACGCGCGGAGGGAAGTAGTACCTTGTTCAAGGGTCGGCAGGCGGCCGAGGAAGCGGAGCCGCAGCAGAGGCGGGAGGCAGAGAGCTGGGGATCAGGGCCCGCACCCCCTGCGACCTCCAGCCTGGGGCCTAGGGGAGCGGGAGGGGTGCGAGCTCTGCGACCAGACCGTGCATTCCCAGGGGTCTAACCACACCGCTGGGCCGCCGAGGAGCGGCGAAGAGTCTGCGGCCTCCGCTCTCCTCTTCACAGCTAGTTTGAGAAGGAATATTCTTAGCTGCGTGTAAAGGCTTCACCATGAGCTTTCAGCTCCCCGAAGATGCACACTCATACCTTACGTAGTCACGTCCAAAGTCACATTTGCACATGATTCACTGTAGCTGCACGAATAGCTACCTGTGCGCGACTTTGGAAGAGGCGCTCAAGGCTCAGCGATGCCCTTACGGAGGAACGCGATTTCACGCCCAAGGACAAACTGTCTTGGTTTGGTGTCTGTGTTTCATGTGGAATCCCATGCTCCCAACTGTAAGCGGTTGTGGAGAGCCCTCACTGGGCGAGCTCTCCTATGAGAGATTCCCTCAGGCAAGGGAGGTTAGTTAAGTCCCCAGCGCAGCGTGGCGCAGGGAGGGGCCTCTGACCCTTAATGGCTGAGGCCCGCCGAGCAGCTCTGTGTACTTGACTGCATATATGGTACGTTTAAAGCTTTGGCTATGTTGTGTTGTATTAAAAAGGAAATATGCAATACTGACAAATAAAATACATTTTTTCCATTAATAGAAGATATTTATTTGCTCCCTACAAGAGATGAAAGAAATCCTGTAGTATATGGAGTCTTCACTACTACCAGGTATGTATAACAAAACACGCGCAATATTTCACAGTGTGCTTTGAGGGTTGTTCTCCCGCAGCAGTGGGGACTGAAGCCTGAGGCAAATGCCCCCCGCCCCCGACCCGCTCCTCAGGCACATCTGAAGCGTGTGTGTGCATGTACGTTGGTGTAATGATGTGTCTGTCTCTTTGTAGCAGTCATACTTTTTCTTCTTACTCCACTTGGCCACTTAATGTTTCTTACAATCTTTTAATGGCCGCAGGAAGACTTCCCCTCCTATCCCTCAGTGCTGCAGCAGCCTCAGCGCTGAGCCCGTGTCCGGGGCCCAGCCTCCAGCCTGCTTCTGTTGTTTCCAGGCCTTCACGGCCATGCACAGTGACCAAGGCCTTGTGTGAGTGCGCGGTGGCCGAGGGCATTTCTGAGATAAGCTCTGGCCACTAGAGCCATGCACAGCACCTTAACGCAGCCTGCAATGAGTCCTCAAGGCTCCTGGGCCTGGAGGTCAGGCCTGGAGGTCGGGCCTGGAGGTCGGCCCGCAGTCTCCCTGCCCTGCTCAGTCTTCAGAGAGCCTGTTCACGTTGTGCTGGAGGGACCAAAGTGATGGTATGACTATGGAAGAGATGGTTTGAAGCTATTTTGCAGCAAATTATAGTTTAAGTTCTTCTAAGTGGTCTGACGCTCATGCGGTTCTCAATACCTTGAGCATAAGCTAAGTTCTCTGTGGGTTCAGAATGGATCAGACGACAATAGAGTATTTGATTACTGAACTGCTGTGAATATGAACTGGTCAGAGGCGCTGCTACATGGGACCTGCTTTCTGTACCTTTACCCTGGGATAGTAAAGGCCCAGGAGCACGAGTGCCGCTCCACAGGATCTGTGCCGGGTCCTCCTGGGCCCTGTCATGCCCTTTGCAATCAGTATGTGCTCTTTGTAGGCATGCACGCACGATGGGCCTAAGTACCAGGGAAACGTAGCCCCAGGACGGGCCTTTGTCCCTGTCCAGCTTCTGCCCACCCACGATGTGAAGTCCAAATCAGTTCTTTGTTCTCGGTGTGCTTTGCTGTTTTATTTTAAGGCTGCCCCGAGGACTGAGGTGATGTTGGTGTGCAGGTGGCGCTGTTAAGTGACAAGATGCGGTTCATGTGCGGTGGGCAGAGCCAGGCCTCGGGCGTCACAGCCAGGAACAGCCAGCTTTTGTGGCTGGCACCTCGCTCCCCAGAGCTGGCTCCCCCTGGCTGCCTGTGGGCCATTTGTCCTCACCTCCTGGTGGTCCCCATCAAAGCCACCCAGGAAGAGTACTGATTGCGTCACTCAAGGTAGAGGCGTGTGTGTTTGGTCGTGTCCTGTGCAGACGGAAATCTCTTAGATCGTGAAGAGTGACCTCACGGTCAGGAACAGGAATTACTGAAAGGCTCTGTTCAGAGAAGCGTCTTTTATTTTCTATGAACAAAGCCAAAGCATATCTGATGAGTACGAACAATATCCATCACGAGTGTGCCAAAACCCGCCGGGTTCTCATGGACCGGTTCTGCAGCGCTGCTTCTGAGTGTATGCGTGTGTCACGACTTTATACATCACAGCAGTTGCTGTATTCTGAAGGTTGACTCTGGGAGCAAAATGAAAAATAAAAAGGTTATTCCCGCCTTATTAAGAGACAGTCAGCTTGATAAGAGCCACCTGAATATATTATTTAGCAGCTAAACTTATGTTCACTTGCTAAATAGATGACATATGAGGCAAGGATTATTCACATATCTAGATGATTACTATTTTAAAAGTGGTTCAGGTAACTTACTATACTGAAGCTCTTTAGAGGACATTATTTTTTGATAATCTTGGGTAAAAATTACACCCCTTCCTCCGTGTTCCTCTGTGTCCTCTGGGTTCAGGGGCAGTTGCTGGTGAGTCTGTCTCCCGGGTGCTGCGCAGACGCCGGCCTGGGCAGCCTGGCAGTGCTGACCTGGGGGCACTCCCCGGGTCCCCTTCGCTTCCCAGTCCCTGAGCTCCCTCCCTGTGGCTGGTGCACGGTGCAGACTCCGTGAGCGCGCAGGTGCGCTGAAGCTTCTGCAGCGCTGCTCAGCAGCGAGTACCAGCGCCTTCTCGGCCCCACGGCTGTGCCCGTGAGCACCGTGGAAACTCTGCGCTCTGTGCTTTCTTCCAGCTCGGTGTTCAAGGGCTCCGCCGTATGCGTGTACAGCATGGCCGACATCCGGGCTGTCTTCAACGGGCCCTACGCCCACAAGGAGAGCGCAGAGCACCGCTGGGTGCAGTACGACGGGCGGATCCCCTACCCCCGGCCCGGCACGGTAAGCGGCAGCTCCCGCCGCGCTGTTTCCTAGCCCTGTATTCGACTTCTGCCTCTGCTCCTGCGCCCACTTCTGTTCCCCATGGCAAGGCATGCTATTGGTTCTTGGACTGTGGATTTCTCTCTGTTCAGTAATGTAGGAGCAATTCAGCGTCCACTCGCATTCAACCTTTTACTCTAAGAATTTCAAGTGTGAGGGAAAACTACGGGCCCCACCGGCCTGAGCAGATGGCGCTGGCCTCCGTCACCAGCGGGTCTGCGAGTCCGTCAAAATCATTTCCTATGATCTAACCCATGCTGACCTGAATGCCACCGAATTCTATAAACATGCTCATCACAGCTGCTGAGTAGTAGAGATCGCTACAACACAATTTGGAAATGTCTGAAATAACATGCAGGTGCATAAGCTCTCTCTTCCCTCACGCCTTTAGTTACTGGACAGTGACGCTTGTCTTGTCTGCTGACCACGCTCCTATTCTGACTCCTTACTCTATGCTCTCTCTGGAATGCTGCTAGTGAAGTTAGCGGCCAACATTCAGTTGTGCGAACCTGCTACACAGCTATCACGTATACTTTCCCTGGTGAACTGCACTGTCTTAACTCAGCATCCATAAAATCACTGAAATTATGTTTCACTGCATCAAATGGCTACACTTGTAAAATCTGAGAATGTGAGAGCTTTGGTGGCAGATAGGAACTGTGTAATTCACTCTTATTTACACAGGAGGAATTTGATGCCCAGAATGATTAAATAATTTTCCCTGTATAATTTTCCCAAAAATAGCAGAAGGAGGAGGGATACCAGGTGGGGTTTCCTGGCCAAGCTCCGCCCCCGCATTCTCCGGTCCCTACCTGCTCTCTCATCCCCCGACATGGTGATGAGTACCTTACCTGGCAGTGGCCTTGCTCTCCTCCCTCTCAGCTCCTGTCATTCTGTTTTGTCTGTACTTATTTAAAACAGCAAACGTTGCAATTTTTCTATTTTCTACTTCGCCACTTCAGAGATTCTAGTTTTAGATATTATAATTGAGCCTTTCCCATGATTCAGTAAGTCCTGTGAGTTTGCTCACTATGTCTTTGGGACATCACAGTGCACCATTATCCCAGGCGTATGACAAGAGAAAGGGCAGCGAGGCAGCACGCACGCTCATGGCCGGCCTCCTCGTGCTTGGAGAGTGAGTACGGCGTCCTGCTAGGATCTGCGGCCCGTCGCAGGCTCTGCTGCTGTGCCTGCCACTGACCAGACAGGCCCACAGGGCCTTTCGCGGCTCCGTCCTGTGCGCTAGGAATGATGGGTTCTGAAGCCTCCTCCGCACGCCACTCTGACGGTGTGGCTGGGAGCACGCCTGGGTCTAATAGAAGTGACTGAGTAATGTGCCTTCTATGTAGCAGTCATACATTTTGCTGACAGCCACTTTACACTTACATGAGAAAGTTCAAATAGATAATTGAAGAGGACACTTTTGCCTTTACCTTTGCTGCATCCACTCCGTTCTTCAGATTGAATTCCAAGGTGCCCAGGATAGAGCCTGTTCCCAGCCTTCTCTTTCAGTTGGGTACACAGGCCTGGGGGCTGCCTGCTGGCCTACTCTGGTGTTTTGGGTTTTTGCAGTACCAGTGATTGAACTCAAGCCCCTGTGCTTGCCAGGCAAGTGCTTATTCACTGAGCTATCTTCCTGGGCCCCGTGCTGGTGTGTCGGCTTGGATGGGATGATGTAGTCCCATTGACTGAAAGTCAAACCCAAACCCAAGCTCACTGCATCACCCTACTGTGAAAAGCCTGGCAAGTGTACAGGATGTATTTCCAGAATTCCTTAATTTCGAGTGGCTCTTCTGCCCTCTGGTGTTCAAGTAGGGTGTCCCAGCCTTTCCCATTGTGCCCATCCCAGCGGTTCCAGGTGTGCCCATCCCAGCGGTTTCCAGTGTGCCCGCAGGCTCTCTGGTCAACCTGGAGCCTGTTGATCAAGGCCCACGTGGGAGAAATGTCCGCAGCCCTCGCAGGCCTGGCGCAGGGCAGACCTGGCCCCTCTGGAGTCAGCCGGAAGGAAGCTCAGACTGGGGAAGTCTGCGAAGGCGAATTCAGTTTTGAAATCTGACTTATTAGAGATAATTGACTGCAGTTTTCATAAATAAAGTAGTGCTGTTCTGTATGACAGTGACTTCCTAAGACTTCTACGCCCACACAGCATGACGGTCAGCTCTGCTCAAAAGAGAGGTTCAGTTTTTAAACGATTATCAAAAAAGAGAAAAAGCACTTGTCATTGAAGTTCAGATACTTACTAAACACATTTCATCACCATTGAACTACTGTGCCACGGTTTTTATTTCTGCAGGATCTAATTTTGTTAAAATAATTATTCTCCTTAAAGCTCTATTTCCTTCTGAGTGGAAACTGCTTCTACTGTTACTTTTTTATTTTACCTGTGCTCTTAGGGTTACCCCAAGTAATCCTCCACTGTTTGGTGGGAGAGAGGAAGTAGTGTAGGCGCTATTCCTAATCTCACAGATTTACTTCACTGTGGGGGCGTTGGTAATGCTGAGTGCATTGCAGATCTTGTTAATAGCTTGAACACCATCGCATTCCATTCTGTCTTTGCATACAGACTTAACCTTTTATTTTATTTGTGCATGTTTGTGGTTCGTGTACTTTATAGTCACTGGGGTGCACATAGATGCGTGCAAGGCGGCACACACGGTGCACGAACAGCTGTGAGTGCCTTCGTGTGGAGCCGGGGAGAGGTGCACATTTCCCAGAGTGCTGCGCTGCGGTGTGGATTCTGCGGACAGCTGGCTCCTGTCTAGACCTCACCACGGTCTCTGCAGCGCTCGCCCATGGAACCGCGCCTGGCTTCGGCTCTGTCTCGGTCCCTTTCTTCCCTGTGTGTAAGGACTGTGGTTGATTTTTTTTCTTTAATCTTTTATGTTGCAGAAAGATACCACATAAAATATCAAAAGTCATTAAGCTAATCTTTTTCCCACTTACTGGCCTCCTGTATTAGTTGCTGAATATCAAGTATCCTATTAATGAAAAAAAAGAGGGCATACATGTAAAAATGTCTTTTAAAACTTGATCAATAAAACTTCTTTTTTTAAATTTAGGACAGGGCATATACGGTCTCACTACGTAGATTGGACTCCTAGTGATTTTCCCGCCTTCAGCCTCCCAAGTGCTGGGGTTACAGGCGTGCACCCCACGCCCAGTCTCAGTGGCTGTCTTAGTGTGCCCCGGGTACAGCACGTCCCTCAAACCCCGGCCGCTGTGCTCTGCCAAAGCAGGCACTTTAGTCAGCTGAGCTATCTGGCCAGCCCTGCAGTAAGACGTGGTTAAGTATATCTTGTACAGCAAGATTAAGAGAAACATTGAACTATTTTGTGAGACTTACTGTATCTGAAACATTTCCCAATAAGCTTTGCTTCTCTAACTGCATCTCACTAATTCAGCTCTTTGTACAGCTGAGTTTTGTGAAAAGCCATATGTATATGGTAATAGTTTATTTTTAATGTAATTTATAACTTAATAGTCCACAACAAAAACGATGTTACACAATATTTTGACCCCCACTTAGTGTACACCATGCCCCGTCTCCCTCTGAAACCTGTCAGAGCTTCACCTCACCAAGACACTCCACCTGCGAGGGCTCCCATGTGTTCTTCTCAAGGAAAGCACCCAGCGAAGGCCTGCCTCCAACTTCCTGTTGTGGCGGGCTCTGCCCGTCCTCCTTTTCTGCCGGATATGAGCCTCCGCCTCAGCCTGTGAGTGCAGACCTCACTAGCAGCTCACTTCCTTCCACGGTGACACTTCCTAACATTGTAGAAGACCCTGAAAATCACGAAGCCCTTGGCATCCCAGGTCCCCTGTGAAGTCACCTTATCAGCGACACAACCGTGGCCAGCCCTGGCGCTGGAACAACAGCCTTGTGCGAGGGAGCATCCCAGACAGCGCCGAGCCTGACCTGGGCTTGGCTGGTGCTCGTCCTGCGCAAATGCGCGGTGAGGGATCGGAACACACAACACATGCCCTTGCTCATGTGTCTTCCCTTGAAATTGCAAAGATTATTGAGATATGCCAACTTCTGCCATGGTTGTTATTCAGAAATCTAGGCTTTGAGTTGAAAATGGAACCCACAGATTCAGAGTTCTTCCGGCGCACTGTTTTCTCATAGATTGTGGATTCCATCCCATCTCAGCTCCTTCGGCTGAAGAGCTGGTGGCTCTCAGAATCTGGTGGCTTTATTAAACTGAAGAAGATCTAAAATAGTCAGGGGACAGATTATAAATTATGCCATCTCTTTACATTATAATATTGTTTACAAGGCAGATGACTGGCTTCCAAACATGGGTAAAACTGGCCAAAGGAAAATACACACTTCAAAAGTGCTGTGAGAAGATTCTTCCTGATTTTGTAATACTGGACTGTGACAGTCTCAACTGGACGCACGGTTAGAGGGCTGGAGGCTCCCCTCCCCTCTCGAGTTCTTCTCTCGTTCCCGTGCATGAGGGTGTTGCTGTGTTACTGTTGCTCATGAGCGCCGTGCTCCTGCCGTAGTTCATTGTGCTTTCTTTTCAGTCAGCCTTGCTGACTAACTTCAGACGTGCAGGAAGCTTCGCCAACTTGCGCTTCACGCTTGCTGCTCTACGTGTGCCTCTTGTAGTGAATTCTGCCTGCTTTTTCCTGGACACCATCAGTTCGGTGCCTAGCCACTGATTAGCAGGTGACCACCCTACTACTTTGTGCCTGCTGTCTGCTGAACAGACCTCCAATCCTGTCCTGGAAGAGAGCAGCAGAGTGAGGGCTGAGTCGGCAGCCTGGCTCCAGCTCCTGCCGGGCTCTGCGGGAGACCACGGGCTGCCACTGTCCTGCACCCAGGCCCGGGCGCTGATCCTTCCCTGGGCTCATGTGGATTGACGTGTCCTGCTGGCTCCGTGTGTGTGCGTGCGTGTGTGTGTGCGTGCGTGTGTGTGTGTGTGTGACAGAGCCAGTGTCTGCTCTGAAAATTAGGTTTCCCAAGTTCTCAGAGGCGTACTGTGTTTTGCTTTTGCTGGTAAAAGTTCTTGTAAGAAAAAAGGACTTCAAAGCAGACAGCGGGTGACTCACCTCTGCTCTTGGTCACTGGGCCTCTAGGATGACTCAGAGGCTGACCCCCAGGTGGAGAATCAGGGTGATAAGGTGGTGCTTATGACATTGGCATTTCTGACAATAAACACAAAAGCTTGGCTGCCCCTCTGTGCCACCCTCTTGATCTCTGGATTTGTTTGAAGGGAAGCTGCCCCCTGCGGAGAGCCCGAAGCAGCAGCAGGAGCAGCAGCAGAGGGAGACTCCTAGCAGCTGTCTGAGGCCTGGCCAGGGCAGAGCTCTTCCTGGATAGAATCCACCTCTCTTCCCTTATCCTGTGCTTCCCACTCCAGTCCCCAAGGCCTTACACAAACACACGCTGTGCCAAGCACAACACGTCACACCTCGCCAGCAGCCTCCCGCGGGCTCTGTCGGCCCCTCCTCTAGTCTCTTTCTCCAGTGGCACCCAGGCTTCCGCAAGCCACCGCCGAATGCAGTGTTGGCTCTCCCTGCCCTTCCCTTTTTGTTTTCTTTCCCCGGATTGTAGATTGTCTTGGTGCTTTTCAAAGCACAGGGAAGGCCTGACTAAGCTGCCTGGTTACTTGTGCAGCCTCAGAGACCAGCAGGCGATCAGGCCAGGGGTGAACAGCTGGAAGCTAATAGGACAGCCAGCCAGGGAGCAGCAGCAGCGCCTCTTCCTGGGGTGCAGAGCTGCCAAGGGAAGGTTTCCCCAGAGGGTGGAGGAGCCCCACAGGCTCGCTGTACTCCCTGTGCTTGGGGCTTTCCTCTGTGCAGCCCTCCTACAGCAGGTCTTGTGTGTTGTGTGGCCTCCTACATTACTTGTAGATCTGTGTTCCTCTTTTCTGTGCGCCATCCAAGCAGAAATCCCACCCAGTGAGCATACGAAGGCGGCAGAAGGCTCCCGCTCTGCCCTGTCCTGGACCTCAGGGAGCGGCTCCCCGGCCATGTCCCGTCCCCAGGTGTGCTGCGGGCCTGACCTCGCTGTGCACGCAGGGAGCGGAGCATTGTCCCCCAGGGGCAGGGGAAGGCAAAGGAGCTCTCAGGGCATTTCGAAATACTCAACACAAACCAGGTGTCCCTGCTCTTTTTTTTTTTTTTTCTTTTAGATTTTATTACACTTTTATTACCCTTGGTTAGAGGCATGCAATATGGAAAACTGTTAGGTTTATTTATCTGTTGAATGTATCACCATGCAGTGGAACTTTCTTACATTAATTTTGTAATTATTTAAAATTTTGAAATGAAAATTGTGACTTAGATGTCATGAATTTTTTTTTCTAGAAATTCTGGCCGCCCCCTCAGCACAGCTGCAAGCACAAAAGAGAGTTCTCGAGGTGGAGGCTGGTTCAGAACTGCGGTGCAAGCGCAGGCTTGGCCAGCCTTAGACCAACCGCAGGGGTAGAAGCTAGAAGCCAGCCCACAGCAAAGCTAGCTCTGCCTCCCATGCACAGCCTGCGTTTGCAGGGAGTGCTGCACAGTGCACACCTCGTGTGGGTTCCCGTATAAGCTTTCAGGATAGGTTCCCTGCCGCGTGAAGCTGGCAGGTTCCCCTTAGCCAGGGCTTAGAGCAGACGCCATGCCCCTCGCGAGTTTGGGTCTGCGGAGCCCCCTCCTGGGCTAGGTCGGTACCACACAGCTCAGGAGGGGGCTTCTCCTCTCCTTGCTGCAGAGCTCGGAGGAGTAAACCAGGAAAGGATCAGTTTTTAATGCCAGGCGTGGAAGTTTCTTGTGAGAGATGGGTACTCTCGAATGAATGACAGAAAGTCAATAACATTGTTTTAGTACAGCTTTGATGTTTTATATAATATAATAAAGCATTACGATTTTAATGGTATAAAACTTTGGATCACTGTCATAGGTCATAAATAACTCCTGGACATTGAACTTCCTAGGAATGGCTTCTGTGAGAAGTGTCATGTGTTCTTAGACATTCATATGAAGCAAAGGCAAGACTGTTCCAGCTCATCTAGAAAATCAGAGAGGAAAAAAGTACTTTTTCACACAAGTTTTATCTAATGTCACTCATCCTAATCTAATACCTTTCCATCCCAGGAAAATTTATAGTCCATTAAGAATTTAGGTGTGATAATGGTATTATACTGTACAAGAGAACTTTATCACTTACAATATTTTGTAGTTTTTAGATTTATTTATTTTAGCACATGTTCTCAGTACCAAAGATGAGAGTAATTGTGGAGAGTTGGTACACATACCTACCACATCCTCATTAAATGTAAAGAATATAAATCACAATATTTTGAAACAAATTAGATGGAGGATGTGAGAGTATATATTTTCTATGAAAATGTGTCAAATGGCAAGGTTTTGTATTTTTGGATGAAAGCACCTCACCTCCGCTGATGTGTGCTAATTTGGACTTTTCATCTTCCCACCAGGGGGCAGGCCGTGCTAAGAGTTTATCGGAGGGCGACGGTAGGCAGGAAGTGAGTCCAGGCAGAGAATCCCCTGAGCTGAGCGCAGACCCTGTGGTGGAGTCCGTTACCCTGTTCAGAGTAGAGCTCTCACACCAGTTTTGATATGACTACTCAGTACAGATTTCAAGCCAATGAAGTCCTTTTGGCATTGTTTTTGTGTCCTGTTTATTTGTTCTTTTAATTTTGAATGATCATGGTTTCATTTGAAGCAAAATCTCAACTGTACTGAGAAGAACTTGAAAGTAATGCTTTCCCGTATTGTCTTTGACGATTACCTCTTAATTATTGCAACGTGGCTTTCAAGTGTGTTAGAAACACTAATCGTCAGGAGAAATTAATCTTTATAGGGAAAGACTTGGCAGAGGAAACGTCCAAAAGTTCCAATGAATACAAATAATTTAGAATGTTCGGGGCAGAGGGAACCAGCTAAGCACCCTGCGGAGCGCAGCCCCAGCACGAGGGCGAGGCCCCGCGGGAGCTTCCCCGCCTCCTGCTGTGCACAGCCGCTCCAGGCGGAAGGGCCGCCGGTTAATCCGCAGGTGCTTAGCGGTGACGCCCCTGCCCGCTGCCCACAGTGCCCCAGCAAGACCTACGACCCGCTCATCAAGTCCACCAGGGACTTCCCGGACGACGTCATCAGCTTCATCCGGCGACACCCGCTCATGTACAAGGCCGTGTATCCGGCCGCGGGGCGCCCGACCTTCAAGCGGATCAACGTGGACTACAGGCTCACGCAGATCGTGGTGGACCACGTGGCGGCCGAGGACGGCCAGTACGACGTCATGTTCCTCGGCACAGGTGAGCCCCGCGGCCGCCGCCGCGGTCCGCCCGCGCAGGGAGGCAGGCTTCCCGGGTCCTCGTGGGCAGCATGCGTGAGGGTGACCAGGCGACACCGCGGTGAGGGCTGCTAACTTGCGGAATGCTATCTTGGGCGTCTCCAGCCTGAGATTCAAAACCGCTTTGCACCTCAGCTGCGGTGGGCCCCAGTGTCAGTGAGGCGCCCGGGGCTGTCTCCCCAAGGACTGCGGCCAGTGCCCGGCCACCCGGGCTCCGCCGAGCGCCCCTGCCCCCGCCGCCGGGCCGCCTGCCCCTGCCTTTGAGGCCCCGACTGAAGCACTGAGCATTGCCCTGCGAGATTACGTGCAAGCGCCCTGGAGATGCGTGTTCCTGTTCTTGAATTTGTGGGTTAAAATGAGTTCTTTACTCTTGAGTGGAGCAATTCAGCAATGGCCAAGCTATTGCTCTGAAAGTGACATAGTATTTATTTGAACATCTCAAGAGTCAGAAAAATCATAATCTAATAATACTTAAGTGAGCTCTTGCAGAGGGCATTCTCAGGAAAGCGCACTGGGCCGCGCGGCGGCGGGCGGGCAGCCACACAGGGAGCCCGACTAGCTAGCCTTTAACACAGGGAGGTCTTTGTGGAAATGATTGTTAAGAGTGGAAGACAGTTTTGGAACTATTTCAGTTTTAAATCTTCCCTGCCTTTACAGAAGACAGGCTCGTAGACAGCTGTGTGTGATGAACCCGAGGTCCCCGGGCACCAGCGTCCACCTGGCTGGCACACAGGCAGGTGCTCCGGGATGGGAGGCCTGCCACAGGGTCCCCGCTTGGGGTCATTGGTGCTCACAATGTGACGCTTAGGCACGTCCACTAAGAGCTCACTCATGGGTCTTGGGCAGTTGTATCGAAGTGTCATGCAGCCACTAGGTGGTACTAGGTAACTTTTACTGAGAAAATCGTAACAATATTAAGACAGTTAATTTTGACACTTAGAAAATGCACATTTAAAAGCCTTTAAAGATTCCAGAGTCATTGAATAATTAAACTATTAAGCTAATTTGTACACTTAGGAAAACTACTGTATATGTTTGAATAACCAAACCCCAATGCTCAGAACTTTAAAGATCTGTTTCATACAGATAATTATAAGGTGAGATTTATTTTTTTTTCTGGTGTTCTTTTATCTTTTGTATGAGTATGCCACCTTGTGGAACTACAATGTAAAATGATGTATTTAAGTTATCCTTTCAAAACATCAGTTTTTGTTTTGCATTATTAATCTTGTATTCTTTATTAAGTTGAACTAAAACAATTTTAAACCAAATTTTAGCATCCAATGCACTAACAATAATTCTGAAGGTAGAACACAATTTAGAACACAGTTTTCCCTGGTAGATTTCCTTAGTCATTTCTTATACATTTGTTAACATTAATAAGATACATGTAGCTTACATTTTATGGTGAATTGGACTTAGTAAGCATTGAGACCTTCTTTATTATAGAAAGATAAGTATATGGAGAGACCATTATTTTAATACATTTTAACTTTATAAATCAAAATTGTATAACTGTTTCATTTCTTCTATAATTTCAAACAATATTTAAGTTGGGCTTCGCAGTAGAGTCTGTTAAGAATCTGTCCTCAATATGTAAGTCTCAAAATTCTCTTTATATGTCTCTTCTACTAGGTTAAAGCTGTAACAATTCAGAAAGAGAAAATCATATACATTAAACTTCATTTCTGGTGTTTTTCATTTAATTGGCTTTCTTAAGAAGCATTTAAAGTAAAGAGAAAGGAACAAATTGAAGGGCTGTAGTACATGCTTGCAACTCAACCTGGTGGCAGAAACAGCAAGCTCTGCTCACGCATTTTGCAGATGTTGGAACAGTGCTCAAGGTGGTCAGCATCTCCAAGGAGCAGTGGGGCATGGAGGAGGTGGTGCTGGAGGAGCTGCAGGTGTTCAAGGTGAGCCTGGGCCGGAGGGCGTTGCCCCAGAGTCCTGTGCAGGGTGCGCTGTTCACGTACCGCCCACCTTCCCTCCTGAAATTCAGCCTTCCTGCTTTCCTCTTTGCTAAGTGCTGGGAATGCTGTATAAGCTAGAAAGAGTGGAGTGGGCTGCTGTTCCGGGGTCGCTTCTCATTACCAAATTCTCCACGCCTTAGCAGACAAATTGCCACAGTCAGTACCAGATGCCTGACTGCTTGAGAAATCCTACTTCGCAGTTCTTCCCCAGCTGAATTGAAAAAGCGGAAAAACATATATACATCATGCTTCTTTGCTTTTCTGTAAGGAAACTGAGCAAGGAGTAGGCAGCAGGATCGCATGACTTTCGTGACAGTAATTCTTCCTGTGTGCTGGGTTCCTCTGACCTTCCAGAGTGTTTGGCCTCCAGAAGACACCATCAAGTTTTGGTGGTACCTTTGAGCACGGGTCATAAATTTAAATTGCAGCAATTCTTATAAAGCCTCGGTGAAACTTAAAATTGCTTCCTGAAAAGAACATTAGAAATAAAATTCTGTACCTTAGAAAAGCTTTCTAAGAATGTGCCATACTGTTTTATAAGGTTTAGCTGACACAAATTATTAATAACTGCTTCCACATAAACATCTATTGCCTAAAAGGAAGTAGAGTTGTCCAGGCAAGGAGGGCTCTAGTTAGCTGGTGTGTGGGTGCCCTGGTCCTGTTATGCCGTGATGATCGTAAGGGAAGCCACCAGCACAGGCATGCTAGCTGGCCTGACCACACAAGGCCTAACTCACTTTTCCTAAGGGAAAAGCCAGGGACAAATATAAGGCTGAGCAGAGGTTCAAACAAAGACCCCTCACACCCATAAGCCCATCCGGCAAGCTCCACCCCACGGTTGCTAGATGCTGGTCTGGAGGAATTGTTTGGCTTTCCTGTTAAAACTGAACAAAGGCCATATTTTGTTCTCTTTTTAAATCACTTTTAGAAAGACAGAGTTACTAAGGTATATGTCATAAACAAAAACCCCACATGATTACTTCACACAATTTGATGAGTTTGGCCTTTGCTAAAAGTTCATAACGAAAAGTTATTGGGTAGAACCTTCTCATCATTCCTCCTCTGTGAATTTTCTTTTGTGTCAGCTGCTGTTAACTGATTGGCAAGCACAGGCTGATGGTGGGTGAGCACGGAGAAGAGGGAGCGCTAGATGGCATGACTTTTATAAAGCAGCCCACTTCACCACTGTGTTCTCCCCTGCGTGGTTGGCGGGCCTCACGCTGGAGGCTGTTTTTTTCCTTTCTACTTGGTCCAAGCTCACTCTGCAGAGCCTGTTTCTTTTCCTGCCTTCAATAAAACTTTGCTGCTCTTAAAACTTCCAGCTCGCTCTTGCTTAACAGTCTTTATGTTGACATTTTTAACTTCACCTTATATGTGCAGAGCCGTATGAGCCACATAAGAAGTCGGCCTTCGCTCTCACCCTGAACACGTGTGCACTGCTGTCCTGGTGTCACTGCAAAGGACACAGAGCTGTGTCACTGCTCAGATGGTGGCTGCTAGAACACGTTTTTGAGTCTCTGGTCTGCATGGGAACAGGACGAAGCAACACATAATTACAGCAATGTTCTGGTCAGCACCAGTGGGGATTATAAGGAAGCAGTTAGCAAAAGCTGATTTTGAAGAAATACAAAACTTGCAACTGGGAACAATTTTCAATGCAAAGTGTCTCTTCAAGCTATTTTTCTTAAAACAACTATTTTCATCCTTCTTTAAAAAAATCATTTATGTATTTGGTACAGGGTCTCACGAGGCAGCTGCGACTTGTAGTGATCTTCCTGTTTTCAGCCTCCCCAGTGCTGGGATTACAGGAGTGCACCCCCACATGCGGACGCGGCCCCAGGTCAGCGTGCCCTGGGGCAGGGCAGGACGGCATGCAGGACCAGGGATCAAGCCCTCGGTCCCGTGTTTGCCTATGCAGGCTCCTAGGCAGCTGAGCTGCCTTGCCAGCCCTATTTTCATCTGTGATGGTAAATCACTACACTTTGTCAGAACTTTGTGAATACCAAATCCTTCTTCCTTTATCTGACAGAACCTGAGCATTTGCTTCTGCGTTCTTCGGTATAAGGTGAAGCCCCACTGTGGCTAAGCTGAGAGACTGTTACTGGTGTTCTTTATTGACACTCAGCCTCTATTTTCAGCACTCATCAATCATCTTGACCATGGAGCTGTCTCTAAAACAGGTACTTTCTCATTTTATGCAAAAATCTACCACAAGAGTAGCAGCTGCTTGGAACAAAGTAATTTGAAGAATCCACTTTAGTCAGAAATTAAATTGCAAATAGTGTAGAAGGCTGTAGATTATTTGTCTTTCTCGTTATTGATTAGAAACCATTGCTTCAGCCTTCCCTGAGTAGAACGGGACGCTCATCAATTGAACAATGTATTCTTTTTTTCTTTGAGCTTCAAAATTGAGCTTAAGTTTTCTGGCCTCATGAGGGTATCTTTCTGTCAAAGTCTTAAGCAATACAGATAAAATATTAGTTGTAACCATTTAACATTTTTTAATCAGGGAGCCTAGGAGTAAGACCGAGGAGCGTGGCCAGCCCTCCTCACAAGACTCAGTATCTAACACTGAATCAGTCTCCTTGATAGCAAAGCTAGAAGGACGTCCTATATACAGTGTGAATTCAAGCAGGACACGGCACAGTGTCACTCAGACCCGAGCAGCACACTGCCGTGGGGAGCAGGTGGGAGCTCCTGGTGATGCCGACACACTGCTGTGGAGTGCGCTTTCCCAGCTCCGGGGTGTGCCGCCCCAAATCCCAACTGATTGAAGAGGCTGAGCCTTGCACTACCATTTCTGTCTGCATCGTCAGGCCCCAACAACATCATGACAATGTCATCTCAACATCAAGACTTTGCAACAATATTCTACTCTCTTCCACCTGCCACGGCACAGCCTTCGTTAGGCAATAACCTGAACAGGATTCTTGCTTGGGTTGTTCCTATTATTCGTGTATTTATCCAACATACATTTCTTGAAAGCCTACTGCTGTGCTTTTGGGGTCCAGAAAATGAGTGGTTGACACAGCCTTAATCTCCAGAGGCTGTCACAGAGCTGAGAGATGGAGAATCATGCTCACGATGCACAATAAGGATAGAAGTACAGGTGAGAGACAGGAGAAAGAAGGTAGCCTGCAAAGCAGCCAGCAGGGAGGACAAAGAGCCCCAAGAGACCTGGCACAGCTGGAGCCTTACAGGACATCCTCAGCCAGATAAATACAAAGGCCATGGATGGCAGTGAGTCTGTACAGTGGGGGACGTCTGAAAGCTGGGGAGGAGGAGAGGTCACTGCATGCTCCCCATGAAAGCTAGGGCCCATCCACAGTGGGTGACCGCAAACCTCCTCTCTGACATCTTCAGGAAAAAAGAGGGTGAGAAATGAACGTGCCTAGGTAGTCCAGCCTGAGGTTAGGCAAATCTTTCTGGGTCCTCTTAAGATGTTTGATAATTTATCTCAAGAACAACAAAAAGCTTGGTGGTTATTAGCCAGAGGCTATCCCTGTCAGACTTTCCTTCTAGAGGGTCTGTGTGGTGTAGTGTGGAGGGCAGAGATGGGGTCCTGAGGCAGAGAGGGCGTCAGGGAGGAGCTGTAGCGAGCAGAGGCCATTAGGGCACTTGTAAGACATCCAGGAAGGAGTGGATAAGGGTGGAAACAGAGGCCCGGGGGGGGGGGGGGGGGGAAGCCGCATGACAACTGCTGTGAGAGAATGGA